CCTTGAATGTCTGCTGTTTAGCTGGCAGAATGACCACATTGTGCCACGTCATACACCTTAGTTGGGTTCATATACTGTGGGCCTCCTAATCAAATTTCTCTAGCAGGGTTCTAGTGAGGGCATCTGTATGCATGTTTACATATTACACACATTTTGTCTTACGGTGGCATATGTGGGTTTCCCCAAACCCTCTTCCTTATCCTCGTAACAATCCTGTGAGGGAGATTAGACAATGTAAGGGGCCCAAATTCATCCGTTAAGCTTCATGGCAGAATGAATCTAGCTCTCTCCAGTACTTGTTCTGAGGCATTTCCTAGAAAGTGTCTCAGACTTGACAAAAAAGTATCCTATGGCCTTTGGCACACCCTCCCAGAACCCACAGGTTACAGCCTCAAATAGACAGATTTTAAAAACTGGTTATTCAACTGCATCTGGAGCCCTATCCACATGATATGATTTAGTGATGGGCTTTCTTTCCACGCACCTTTGAGTCAGTTTGTGACTCCTGGTGACTGCCTGGACTAGACCCTACAGTTTTCCTGGCAAGATTTCAGAAGTGGTTTGCCATTGCCTGCTTCCTAGGGCTGAGAGAGAGGGACTGGCCCAAGGTCCCCCAGCTGGCTTTGCGCCTAAGGCCGGACTAGAACTCACGGCCTCCCAGTTTCTAGCCTGACACTTTAACCGCTACACCAACCTGGCTCTGCACAGTGGTGGGCTTCAAACATTTGAGTTTGGAATGCTCTGCTTTGAGTTTGGAGCACTCCATGCCATGATCTAGACAGCTGTTGCAGCCTTTCTGGGAGTGATCCAACACTGGAGTCCTTGGGGTTCTCTGAGCTTGGCTGTTTTCTTGCAAACGTTTCGTTACCCGGCTAAATAAAATCTTCAGTGCACAGTTCAACCCTGAGCTACACACATTCGCTTCTATTGATCCAACACTGTCCTGACCATTCTGGATGTGCTATAAAGGTGAAATACCTTGTCCCTAGCTCAAAACCCCTGTTTCCAACCCAAAATTCTTCCAGAATGGCTGAGAGAGTGTCCAATATTTTCAGTGAGGTGAAGTGATCCATTTCAGATTTGAGACCCATATATTCCTACAGTTATGATATAGAAAATGGACTCAGCCTATCAGGCCGATTAAATATGTTTTCCTGCTCTTTCTCTGATGTAAATGGGATTAACAATCCAAAACATTTGATCAAGGATTCTTTAAAGAAAACAAACAGGTTTTATTTTTGCAATTCCTTTGTCAAAAAGTAAGCCGGTTTATCTGCATTCTTCTGGATTGCTTGCTTCCTCTCGTGGAGGAGTAAAAGTCATGCATCACCTAGAAGGCGCTGTAACTTGTCATGTTAAAATAAATTCCTCTTTTTAAAAAAGTTTGAAAACTAAATATATGAAACCTGAAGTAAGGCTGTAGGCTTACTACTGAATTCTCTTATTCTAATGGGATTTGGGTCAACATATCTAGATCCAGTAAATTGAAAATGTAGGATTTGTTACTCACTGAAATATTCAGTATTTCATCAACATCTGCTGCTTACTCATTAAAGAAGTGAGTTGTTAACGTGATCGTTCTTTCTCCATTTGGAAGAAATATGTAAAAGAAATAACCATACTTAGTCATTTTTTTAAATACCCTTTTGTAATAATTAATACAATCCAAAATATTCTCTGAATGTTTGGAACAAGTATGTCCTTAGTTCTCAGTCACATAATGATGATGATTTTGCTATTATTTCTAAACCATCCAACAATAGCTGAAGCCCAAATGGCAGGTTACTCATGGACAAAAATGGGATTTTATTAATTCCGATTGACCTTTACTGTTTACTCAATGAAAATTTCAGTTGCTTCATCTGCTAATAAGGCTACGTCCACAGGGGACTTTGTAGCAGTTAGACATGAACCTGTCCATTCTCACAATTTTGTCAGAGTCCAGGAGCTGAGTTAGTAGTAATACTAGCAACAAATCTTGTCTTTCTCTTGAAGCACTGCAGCATTGCAGAAGGTCACGGTAGGGCATTCCCCTATTGATGGAAATCACCTGATCCCCATTGGTGAGATCTCTCCTGCATGTAACCTCTGTGTTTCACAGGTGTGTAGCTTTAAAAGTGATTGTTGGTTGGCACATTCTGCATGTTGAGGATTAGTGAGTGGAAACGGTGGCTATGTAGCAGTGCCCTTTGGGCAGATACAGTTTTAAATGCCTTAGTTGGAAATAGGACCTGTGTGAATCTGGGGCAGAGTGTCTGTTCCTCACAGTGAGAAAACTAATAAAGCAAGGAGCAAGCTAGTATACAACTTTCCCTCGCAAATATCTAGTTTTCTTATTGCATGCAATAGAGACCCCCCCACCCCCCATACTATATACAGCCTCGAGTGATGCAATGTTTCAGTGTCCTATCATTGTACTGCAGACGTAGCTGCTGCATTGAAATGCCGGACAAGCTTGAGTCATCCGGTAAATGTTTAGCAGGGTAACATCAATGCTATGAAGATGATACAGCGAAGTTAACCACTTTTTCCAAATCTTATTGACCCAGTTGACGAAGTTGGAAGCTTGCTTTTAGTGTCAGTGGGGGTTTTAAAAACTAAATTGTGCCCAGTGCTATGTGCCTATAGCCCTGGGAAACTATACTTAAAATTAACCCTAGGTTTCAGTGTTGAATCATTACTGGGTATGGGCAATGCCTTTAGACACGTACACCTTATCCTGTAAAACTTTGTAAGATTTCTCCTTAGCTCTTCTTGCTATGTTATTTTCTGCTCAGCAAGACTGTACTTGTTTTGATGAACTCCACCCTTTTTAATGAGAATCAGAGAGTAAAACATTCGCTTCAGAGCTGCATGGTGAAACTTCAGGATGAGTAAATAGTTTGGGGCTGGCTGAGGGTAGGACAGGAAGAAGACCAAACCAAGGAGGCAGACTTGCAGTTACTTAATCAGGGAAAAAATGCCAACTGTTTTCACATGCTATATTAATCTTATACTCTTATATCCTACTATATGGATATAATCTCTTGCCATGGTTCATCTCTTTGTCGGATAACTTGACCATAAGTAACACCAAGATATGGAACCACTCAGTGCTAATGCACATTTGGACTTGAACAATTACTGAATTTTCTTCGTAATATTTGAGTATATTTTACTCTAGAGAGTGAGCAAGAAAGTGGGGATGAGAGAGGTGTTCTCTATTTTTTCCACTGTAATACTGTTGTGTAATCTATTTGATTGCATGTGGCATCTGCTGGCTTAAGTTCAAGGTCTACAATCCAGTCCCTTCAGATGGCAAACAAATTATTTTATTCACAGGAAGACAGCCAAAGTCACCCAGCAACCGGGGTATCTAGAACAACAACTGAAAGTCCCCTGCAGAAAGGGATACAGTATGTGTATGTATGTATATATTTAAATTAATATAATAGGGCAGCTGTCTTATAGCCATCTGCTGACTAATGACTCTTCTTAAAGGCATAATAACCTTATGCTACATTGTGGATGATGACCAATTGTAAATCTGTCCGATTTTTGTGAATTAACAACTACGGTAATAAGAATATTGGCAATTATTTGCCACTTTTCCTAATGCATATGCAGTAAAACCTCAATTTATATGATCTACATGCAACAAACTTTATATGCAACAGACCCATTTTCCTTCTGGATATTACTCAGCACTAACGGACGAGTCCTTGGCTTACATCGTCTGTCCAGACAAGTGTCTCTGTACCTGTGTTAGCATTCTTCCCTATGCACTTCTTTACCCCTTGGTATTTATTCTGAGCATATGCTGTTCCTTGGAGCATGTGAGATGGTAGTATCTGGCCTGGGGGTCCTCAGGGTTCGTGGACAGATTTTTCCTTCCACTTTCTAGTAATTGCAGACTCTGTCTTCCTTGTGGCTTATGAATGATCAGGCTGGCTTTCAGTGTTCAGGCACTGGCTTCGGGTTCATGGACTGGCTGCTTGTGCTGACTCTGGCCTTTGTTGTTCTCAAACCGGTGAAGTCTGGACAACTCCTCTCCCAGTTAGTTCCTTGGGCGCCGGGGCTGGGATGATGGGAGTCCTAGTCTAGAGGAGAATAATAATTGCAAGTCCCTGATTGCCTATCGTGGGTTTGTCTTCAGTGTAACAGAACTGTCTATGTGGTTTTGCTTATTTGGGGTTTATTGTAAGCCACCCGGAGTCAGGGTGTTCAAGTTGGGCAGCCATATACATTTTTTAAATAAAATAAGTACTTCAGTAAATAAAGTATTCCACCACGGCTTCCAAAAGTTCAGAAATTCATTGTTGCTCTGATTTGCTTCATTTGTATAATAGCATCATTATGCAAATAAAATGATCTGCGTCCTGACTTCATTACACAAATAATGTAAATCAGTGCAATTTCATACTTTCATATTTAGTGAATAGTTAGAAATAATGGACCACACTCCCCAATTAATCTGTTAAATTGATTTTTTATTGTAGTTTCCTATGCAACTTTTTCTATGCTTTTAAAGTACAGTTACCCCAAAATAGGATTTTAAAGAGACAAAGAAAGATACATTTTTAAAATATATTTTTTCTGAATATACGCTTTGTTGGGCAGGCTTGTGAGTGGAAAATGACAGATGCTAGTGGATTCTGTTCAGTGTACCTATCTGGGCAGAGGGACGCATTTTGGTCTTCTTGCAATCAATAGTGGATGTCTATTATTACTAATTATCAATAGGTATATTGTCACAGAATCATACATCTGGAGAGGGTTGCCTGTGTCATCAGGATCAACTCCTTGTTCAGTGTGGAAATCCAAATCAAAGTCCCCCAGAAAGATGGTTGCCTAACCTCTTGAGCACATTCAGGGAAGGAGAACTCATCATGTCTTAGGGAAGTGGGTTCCATTGTTGGAATGCGGTTACAGGTAATCCTTGTTTAGCAACTGGCAACTAGTTTGTTAAGCAAAGTGGTCACTACGGGAAACCGTGACTATGCTTACGATCTTACTTCAGCTTTCCTTTGCTGACCTGCGAAGGTCATAACGGCGAGGCTTGGTTGTAAAGTTACTTTTTCATCACCGTCATAATGGCAAATGGTCTCTAAACGAGGCAGTCCCTAAACAAGGACTAGCTGTACTGCTCTCCTATGGAATTAGAATTATAGGGCATTTAGGTCATCAAGTCTCCGTAGTGTAGGAATCCAGATTAAAGCCTCTCCCTCAGATGGCTATCAGGCCTCTGCCTGAATATACCTAGTGAAGGGGAATCTATATGCATGAATTGTTTAATTTTGCCTCCTTAAAGCTTGCTGAAACGCAATAGTTCTTATAATATTGCAATTGTAGTTTATAATTACACAGAGTGTGCTCTTTCATACTGGTGATAGAAATAGGATGTTTGTGCTTGATTGGAACCAAAGATTTCTGAGAAGCAGGGAGATTGCTCTTTGTGCAAGATTAAAGCAGAGATGCTTCAGAAAAGAGGAAGGCCAAATCTTTTTTATGAAAAATATGTACTGCACAATCTCCTTAGGGTGCTCAGCTTCATAGATAATGAAGGCTTTGTATTGGCATACTGTGCTACAGCATGAAGTAAAAATCAGTAATGATTTCTGCTTTACAAATGATTCTTTTCATTGTTAAGAATGATAAAATATTAAACCAAATTTTTATTTATGTACTTTAATCTCAAATGATACGCGTGCCATATAATGTTGATTTATGATGAGAAGTAAATGGGAAAAGCAGGAGAAGATGTGAGCTACAGTTTGGTTAATATATATGTATGTTTGTGGGAGTATGTGTGTATGAGAGAGCGTGCATTAGTGCACGTGTGTGTAGAGAGAGCAAGCACGTGCATATATACAATGAACAGGCCCCAGATTCCACTGTGGGCTGCCACTCCAAATCTTGGGAGATCACCAATTCTCTAGTGAGATCCCTGGAGAAGGAGGACTTTTTTCAGGTCCTTTTTGGGAAGCTGGTGTCGGGTAAAAGAAAACAGGTGTCTTAAGCTAAGCAACGGCTTAACACACTCATTTTCATTCTTATTTCCATGAAAAATAAAACCAACGTTCATGCTACCAGGAACTGGCTTTGTATTCACTAAATTTTGGCAGTGCAATTGTAGGAATGGCAAAAATAAGGTTGGAGAATTATGGGTCTTAAGTCACCCATTCTTGTTTTAGACCAAGATGAATTTGCATAATATGATAATAGAGACCTGGAATAGACTTGAAAGCCAACGCTGGAAAGGCATGGCCAAATGCCACTTGGGGATGAGTGTGCAATTAGTTGCCCCAGTGCCCTTTGCCGTTCCTGCTGGACCCTTTTTGTACTACTGTAATAGAGTGCAAAAGTGCCATTGTTTGGCAGTGTTAGCAACTAATATCCTTTGGTGAGCTTTCGTGTTTCAGTGTTATTCCTCCTGCGGTAACCCCCTCCCCAATTGTTTATGAAAAATTGTTGTATATTCTAGCAGTTTACAAAAATAGTAAACAAAACTGTCCAACTACCATCATGTAAAATAATAGAAAAGCACACAAAAATGCAGTAGGAAACCATGCAGAATAAAATGAAATATATACATGACCATATGCAGTTCAGTACACTGTAATGGCACAATTAATAGAAACGTTTTCACCATGCATCTAAATTCCAACAGAACTGTATCAACCTGTTATTCTTTATATATTGCATTTGCATACTGCTGAATCTGCAGAGGACTTCTGGCAGTTAACAATAATAATGTCCATCCACAATTTAAAATATCCATGGTATAGCTAAAACATCCAAGTACAATTAAAAGCTCCACAATAATAACGAATAAATTTAAAATATAAATAGCCATAATAATAATAGTAATAGTAATAATAAAAACAATAACAGAGCCGTCACTAAAATCAATTATCATCTTGATGGCAGCTGCACATTAATCAACAAACGCATCTTAATTACTGATGAAGCAAACTTCAGTTCTAATGAGACCATTCCGTAAGATTACAACCATGACAGATAACCAACAACTTCTAACCTCAGAAGAAAGTAGGGGACAACTTAAAACAATTCCCAACATGAGTGCATCATCAATTCTGGCCTTTTCAAGGAATGGGCCAACCTTTTTATGCACTAAATCTTATGAGTCTTTGGCAGTTTCATCCCCAAGATCTTGCATTATCTCATGTGAAAACATTGAAAACTTGTGAGAGTTGTTGCTCTCAAGTGATTTTAGCCATTTTACTTAATTTGGGGGTTCCATAAACTCTGTTTAGACTATTGTATGTTCAGTACAGAAAAGAAGAAGACTAGTTTGGTCCCAGGCCCCTTCATAGATATTTATTGATGCTGTGAAAGTAGCATCAAGTGGCATTTTAATGTGCTGAGTCAATAGCATCAACATCTCATTTCCAGAGACAGATACAATTAGTTTTCTCTACAACAACTGCTGTTTTGATTTTCTACCCTTGTCTGCCTCTAGTCAGTGAAAAAATTAACTACAGTTGGATAATACCTTCCTTTGGGTGACATCTTATAATTATTTTTAAACAAATACTACTTCCCTTTTCCAGCATCTCTGCAGAGGATGCAAATTTGGCTGAACGATACTAGAGACTGAAGACCAGCCCAGAAAAGTGGTGACGCCAATGTTGTCTCTCAAATGAACTTGTGATTCAAGTTCTTCTACTCTTCTGGCTCCTCATGGTCACAAATGAAAACGATCTTAGCAAAATGTCCCAAAGAACAATAGGTAAAATAAACCCTATGTATTTCTGTTGGTTGTGGTGTTGCAATTGTAGCTGGTCACCACAGCAGTACTTCAGAGTAGGACTGCAGTTCTAAATTGAAAGCTGGATCTTTGCATCTTCTCCTATTGCTGGTATGAAGGGTTCTACTATGTTAGTAAAACTATACATTTCCTTTAACAGAAAACTAGCCCAGATTTTTGCCTGCTGCACTGGTTTTCTGTTTTGATTTGTTGCAGTAGGCAGGGCGGGCCATACTAAGAGGTAGATTGAAACAAGGACCTCAGGCCATAGATGTTGGGAGTGGGGTAGGAGAAAACTCTGTGATACACAGCCTGCCTTGTGCCCTCAAGGATAACCTCCTGTCTTAAGATGCAACAGAAAAATGTGTTCAAAAGAGATCTTTAGGGCTGGGAAGAAAAGGAGGTATACCAAACACTAACACTTATAACAATAAGCAGATGGATATTTCCGGATCAGCCTTATCTGGAAAAAAGATGGTTACCTCGTTGGTCTTGCATCCTGAGAAAAAGAGGTGGAAATTATTCTCAGAGACCCTGCTTTAATGCGTTTGTTAATAAATGAATGCTAGCATTCTGTCTTATTCAGTTTTCAAGATTCAGTACATTAACATCTTACCTTCTTGACAATCAATTAACTAATGAGATTAATTGTGAATCTCTCCTTCTGGGTTGTATTCTCCTGTTATGGACTTGATACTGTGCCATAATCACTGATGAGGAAATATTCATGAGGGGGTCCCACCTTGAATTTTGCTCAAAAAACCAAAACAAAACCAACCCCCAAAACCCTTGGGGGATTCTATCAGTGGGGGAGCAATCACAAATGTTTTCCTGTTTACCAACTGGAGCTCTGCAAACTGTTTAACCATCTTTTTCTTCTGCATGTATAGACCGAGACTAAATTCAAGTGACCAATACCTTCCAACAACCTTTCTTAGAACTGGGTTATAAATATGCAAGGAACTGAGACTTGGCTATATTGAAGTAAAGATATAAAAGAATGTTGCCATGTATTTTGCTAGGATCAAATTTCCAGGAAGAAAATCTATCTCACTTTTGAAGATATGAAAAGATATCAGGACATCCATTTTTTTCCTATTTTATCAAAGCAGAAAGTCTCACCAATCATAGTAGTCTGGGCTGCCTTTTGTAGCACTTCCTGGACTGACTGTGACCCCACAAATCATACAGTCACATGGTTATTCCAGGAAGCATGACAAAGGAGATGCAATCTCTGTAACAAAGTCCTTTTGCCATAAATATAAAGAAGGGGTTGAGAACCTGGGCATCTTGTACATTTGCAGAAGTAAATAAATCTCCACCATTCCCACGGATTTATATCCAGAGAATTAATTAAAAATCCACACATAAATCTTCTGGAATGGAACTCTGCTCTGTTATCAACTCACACATTTCTAGCTGAAAAATTTATTTTCTTTGTTCTGTTGTGGCTCTGATTTCCCTTGTCCCTGCCATGCGTGCCATAAGGCTACATTTTCTTCAGATGCATATGTGCATAATGTAAGGAGTAAGTAGATGAAAGAGATTATGGCCACATTTGAAATTGTGAGAGCACGAGGTAGGCTCTTTCAAAAGATGGCTGTTGTGGAAGACTTATCTCTTCATAAAATAGGTACAGTATTATTGTGGGCGTGACCACTCACAAAATAGTCATTTAACTGAAGATGAACTACCCTCCTATCATCCCAATAAGTGAGTTTATTGACCATTGTCAGTTCTGAAGCAAATAAATATGATGGTAGACATTTAGGCTTCATTTTGCAGTTTGGCAGCTTTCTGGGTTTTTTTTTTACTAAAATAATCTTTAAAATATATCACTTAAGATGGGATCTGGTGCACACCAAGGGAAGTGTCTGGTGATACATTGGTGCTTGCAGGTAGCACGTTGCCTACCCTGTCTTAGCCGAAGGAACAAAACACCATATTAACTCTGTGGTACTAAAATACTAATTTGGAAGGATTTAGAATTTTAATGTCCAATTGTAATTTGTTCCTGTGCTCCTAAATTTGAACCAAATTCTTTCCCAAGAACCTTCATCCTTAATGTGGTGCCCTCCAGATGTCTTGAACTCCAGCTCTCATCATTCCTTGCTTGTGCTGTGTCAGGATGATGAAAATTGAAGTCCAACTGTTCTAGGGGCATCAGGATGGGAAAGACAGGCCTAAATCCTGTAGCTGTCAAAGAATCATTCTACGGTGCTTGTATGTATCTTCTTCTGCCTACTTCCTCCGCTTTGGGAATTCACAGACAAAATACATAGTGAGGTGGCATTCCGTATCATTCCATTTTCCAGTGCTTAGCATCTCCACACAGTCCTCATTCTCGTAGGTGTCCTGAGGCTCTCCTTCCTTCCAGTTGCTGTAGCTTTGCAATGGTGTACGGTCTGCATACATGAACTGACCTTCCTTCTCTATGTCATTCACCCCTATAAAGACTCGGAAGAGGCCACTCTGGGAGACATAGTCAGAAATCACCGCATTAGCAGCTTCATCCTTCGGCATGGCTAGGATTCCTTCTCGAATCCTGCAGTGAGTGAGAGCTTCCTTGTAGTTCTTTTCTTCCTGAACAATGTAATAGTATTTTTCTTCTGTTTCTCTGATGCCTGCTAATACTTTTGGAAAGAGAAATAAAAATCTGTTTTTTTTTTTTTACAATAGCCTTTTCAGGATGGCCACGTATAATAATGTCTTAGACAAAGAAGATCTTGTTTTAGTTTGCAGCACACCTGCAGGCTGGAATGTCCTGCATGCCCATAATATATCTTAGTAATTCTGCCCCCAAATTCTGCCATTTCATAACTAGAAGCCCCCCCCACATCCCTTCACTATATTTCCCCCATTTGCTTCTAAAGAAAGCGTATCCTTAATTTATTAAGTACTTTTCTCTGTTGATGACTTGCACTTCCTAACTATCAACCCTGATTAGTCTTTTACTGAAAGTTCATGCCCAATATCTGTATCTGTCTGCAACATATACAAGGCACTGCTCTCTGGTACCTGAGCACTGATCATATAACTTTACTCATTTTTTTCCCCACTGAAATATTTTCTTTATTATCAGCATATAAATTGGGAGACTCTTGTCATCAAAAAGAAGAAAAAAGTATGCCACCAAAAATGGGCAGTTTGCCACTGGATTTTGATGGCACGATCTTTGAGGAATTTGGGGGCTTTGTACAACTTCCAGCCTACAGGGTTCCCACGCCAGTCCCCAAGCTAAAAGAAACTAACAAAGGATATGAAACGTACCATTCTTTACAAATGTAATGGAACTTTTGAGTCGAGCCACATTGATGTCCAGTTGTCCGACAACTTTGCGATATTTCCCACAGTCACAGACAGCACCTAACTCAGTATAGATATAAAAACAGTACAGGTAACTGAAGTATCAAGATGAATAACATGATGCTATGAGCTGTTGGTCTGAAGCACCTTTAATGAGACCTGTCGTTCCCCTCTTCCCTATCAATCCTATGTTAACTGTCGTTATTATATTTATGTATCTCAGTTTTTCACAAATAATTCAAAATGTACAGGCAATTTTTGTCCTCATAAAAAAATAAATAAAGAGAACTTTAAGTTGAGTTGGTGACATCAAAGTAATTGTCTTGGTGATACAGGTAGTCCTCCTTTAGCGACTGCCTCATACAGCAACCATTCATAGTTACGATAGTGATGAAGAAGTAACTTTGCGACCAATTCTCACATTTATGACCTTCACAGGTCTGTAAAGCAAAGGAAAGTTGAAGTAAGATCGTAAACACAGTCATGGTTTCACTTAGCAACCACTTCGCTTAATGACCAAGTTGCTGGTCCCAGTTGTTGCTAAACAAGGACTACCTGTATTGTGGAAATGTTTGCCGTTATCATCTTCTGGGACTTCTTTTGAGTTCCTGGTCTAGCCTATTATAGCCCAAAGGCAGTTCTGTTGCTGCTTATATCTTGCAAAGTAGGAAAGGCCAAAAGGTGTTGAATTTGATCCTGTGTGGAAGTAGAGTGGCGATTTGAAATTGTCTCTGTCCATTTCTAGTCAGTCTCCCTGGCAAAAGCAGCACATTGATCCTGTGCACAAAATATTTGCTGTGATTCTACTTTCTTTTGGGAAATCTGGTTGATTTATGGGAGTTCACAGTACCATAAAAAGTAGAGTTTCTCAAGACAAGTATTAATATTACTGTAGGCAGCAAAGCCCCCCCCCCCCGCCATTGCTTATACACATTAACACTCAATGGTTGTATTCACACTCAGATGGCAATCATTTGACCCCTTAGAGTATACCCCATTTGGGGTGGTTGTGTAATCCATTGAACCATAAATTTACTAAACCATCTGGGTTTGCATCACTCGCTAAGACACAAAAACCAAGCCAAGGTTAAAATTAACCATATTTAACTTCTTGTATTAATACATCTGGTTTTTAACTGGCCTCATTAAGTATGTTGCAGGAATACAGTCATTGGGTGTAACATTAACAACTATTTTTTGAATCTTCCATTTTCATAAAGTTTTAATTATAAACTTAAATGAAAATGGCTGAGGGCAGAGGGCTGGATCAGCATGGCGTTTTAATTGATGTAGGCCTAATTCTGTCTGAGGTGTCTGTATCATTTCAGAATGCAGGAAAGACTTCACTCTTTCATTTAAAATAACCCCTTCGCAAACAGCATTTGAATCAGAGAGCCAGACTGTAGCCTAAGCTAGCTCTTATGGGGCTGTTTTGAACATAGCAATCCTACCTCTGGCTTAAGAAAACACTGGTTATTGAGAACATTTCCAGAAAATTGGCTTCTTAGTTTTAGTTTCTGGACACTTCTGTTTAAAAATCTGCAGGTCTACCTACTCCAACCAGAACTAGCCTGGTCAGTTAAATCAAATAGAGAAAAACTGTTACTGATCTCACATTTTGGGGGAGGTTTGCTGGGGGGGGGGAGACTGAAACGAGGTGCTGAGAGATCAGGTTGGCCCCCTCTTTATTGATATGTCAGAAGCATTTAAAGAGTGTTGTTCCAGAGATCTTTCTCCTGATTTTATCACCCCCCCATCATTTTCTATTTTTATTGATTGTAGTTTTCTGTTTGGGTGGTCGTGTTCTATTGTTTTTATAGCTGCCATACTGTGGATATTTATTTGATGTTTATACTCAATGTAAGCGGCCAAGAGTGTCCGGATTGCAGGGTTGAAAGGTGAAAAGCAAACAGACAAATAAATAAAAATGCACCATGGGAGTATTGCCCAACTGATCTTGCCCATGGGAGTATTTTCTGATCAGTTTCAGCTGGCCTAGCCGGAGGGAAATATCAGGTAGTAGAAATCTTGGGCAGGGCTGGCTGAGCTTCAGATGATGGGGCGAATAAAGTGACCCCCTCCCCACTATGGGGGAAAGAAATTGCTGAGCGGAGTGGAAGGAGCAACACCTTCTCTTCTGAGTCACTCCACATCCCATCCCATCCTCTGCAAATCTCTGAGCTCCAGGCTGGGGTGTTTTTCCTGTTTGTTCCTAGGGACAAAGTATGCAGTTATGAGTGCTACTTTAACCCAGCCAATACAGCAATACCTCGGTTCACGAATGCTTCTGTTCATGAACAATTCAGTTCATGAACAGCACCGTTTGTTCCTAGGGACAAAGTATGCAGTTATGAGTGCTACTTTAACCCAGCCAATACAGCAATACCTCGGTTCACGAATGCTTCTGTTCATGAACAATTCAGTTCATGAACAGCACCGTTCGCAAAATTTTGCTTCCGTTTGCGAACTCCACATCGGGTGATGAACACGACCCGTGGCCATTTTCCCTGCTCTGACACGTCGTGGCTTCCTGTAGGTGAGGGGGACTCTCCCTCCAAACAATAATCGCCTCCCACCCGCCTTCCTGTCCTCCATGCCAGAAGTCGCCTGG